TTCTGCGAAAAAAATGTCATGTTCAGGAAAATTTATAGGGATATTTATGATGATAGTTATTATCACATCATAAATTATTAAGGGTAAATAAAAATCTTAAATTTTTGTGTTTCAATTTATTTTATGAGTTTATAAATACGAGTGTCTAATGTTAAGTGATTTCAAATCATTAATAATATGTATAATTTATTTTATTAATATTATTTAATATTTACAATTATCAATTCTCCTTAATAATTAAATCAAACACATACATAATATTATTTTGTGATATTAACATTCTTTTGTATATCAATAATTACGCCTAATATTTATAAATTATTTTTTTATTATATGTCTTAAATGATTAATAATTATTATTTTTGTATAAAAATATAAAAATAAACTTATTTTTTACATTGATTGGACAAGTTTTAACTCTCATTTAAAGCAAACTAAGAAAAAAATTTACATGTAACAATTATGATTAAAGTTAAGTTAATTTTTATAGTTTTTTAACATCAAAAATAAAAATTATTAATCTTATTCTTTATCTTTATGCAGATCATAACAAACAATATAATTACAATCTTAAATAATATTGTAATTATATGATTGCATATAGAAAAAAATTAATGATATACAAATAATTTATTCATTCAATTTTTATTTACAATCTTCACATATCAATAAATAAATAAATACATATAATATAATTAATCTTAAAAAAATGCAAAAAAAATAATCATTAAGTAATAAATAAGATTATATTAAAAAATTATACAACAAAAATGATTTCTAAATCATTTTCCAATAAAAAAAAAACCTTGCATGTGTGTTCATTTGACCGTTGAATTCGAATTTAAAGAACAGAAAATCGAAGGAATCGAAATCGACAAATTGAACCAATCCAAGAGGATTTAACGGAGAAATTTCAATGTATGAAGGATATTTCATTACTTTTCCTCCGTTGACGTTAATTTCCCACGCGTTGTGTTGCGTTTTTTAATTTCTACCGAAGTGCCGTGGAGTGTTTGAAACGTGCCGTGATTTTCCTGTGGAGAAAAAGGCGTGTTGTTTTGGCAAAGAGGTGGTCCAGCCCAAACTTGAAACCTTCGAGTCCAACTTCTCCAAAATAATTCCACATTCTGCAACATTCCATGGGCCAAGTCCAGTACAAACAATGTTTTCAGTCTTTCCAGCCTATATAGAACATTTTGAATTGGGCCCCCAATGTGGGTTTAGATTTTAGAACCTGATCTAGAGGCGAAGTGCATCCTAAAAGGAATTAGTTCATCCCCTAATTCATTACTTTATTTCATTTACTGCTCCTTCCGTTTCTTAATAACTACTGTTTTTTTTTTTTTAATTTTTCTTTAAATTAAAGATTTAGGGACTATTTATATATTTACCTACTTTTTTTATCAACAAAATAAATGAAATTTTATTATACGGAATACAAAGGATACTCCAACTCAAGTACAAAATTGTTAAAATAGGCTAACTAAAGTAAAGTATTTCCAGCAAACATGTAAAACAAAATCATTACAGTCTCACTGCTCATCATGCTTTCCATTTTTATGTTTATGAACTGCCCTCAACATTCTTCTATGCTTTTTTATAGCAATAGCACATTTTAGCGGATTAAATTTCCAATCAAATATTGAAAAAACACTGCCAACCACCTTGTTTTTAAGCCATAAAAACGTCTTGGACTGAATCATATCAAGCAAACCATCCCTACACTCTCCCTTTGTTTTGAAAAACTCTAATATTCGTCCAATACCAAATATACCAAGACCCAACAAGGAAAAGACAGGCCCCTATCTCCCTCCCTACCACACCTCCCAACTCATACAAGAAAAACTCCATCACCCCTTCCACTGTATTTGGCATCACACCCTCAATACCCCACCAAGACATCACCTAAACCCAAATTAACCAAACTTCGTTATATATTTACCTATATTACTTTTAGAAAATAGTTTAATGATAAAGTAAAACTTTTTATGATAAGATAATGAATAAAAATAAATAAATAATGGTAGGGTTAAAATAGGGGAAAACATGTCTATCTTAAAAAATAAAAAAATATATAGCAATTAATTTAGAACAAACTCAAAGTTAAAAAATAACAATTATTTTAGAATGGAAAGAGTAAAGAGTTTAATTTCTACGTATGAGTCAAAATTTTCATTGATGTCTAAACCCTAACCTCAACGGTGTAATCTATAATTCAGCTGCGTGCGCAAATGCTAATCATCAACATAAAATAAATGAAATTCAATATATTATGTTTTTATAACTCTTGTTCTTAAGGTATAGAGTAAAGATGAATTAATTGTTATAAAGAAAAAATACATATGTTTATTTCAATTTTATCAATCACCTAATTAAAATCATTTGCTTATCATTAATGTTGAAAATGAAATTAATTTTTATATTTTTATATAAATTAATGAACAAATTTTGTAATTCATACACTTTCAACCTATACATTACATATACATCAGACAAAACACAAGTACTCCTTTCAACAAGGTTTATTACATACATAATCTTCTACATCTCCCTAGCTACTTTACATCTTCCATGGCTGACCAATAAAATATGCTCCCTCTGCTTCTTCCACTTAGTTCCTCTGGAGTGGAGAAAATTATTACGGCCCTTTTGACTCATTACCTGCCAATTGGGTTTAATTTCAATTTCAGATTAACGTTTGCCCTAAGTCTTAGTTAATGGAGTCCATGGATATATATTATGCTTTACGCAACACTACTATTACCCATAATTTGTTGTTTGATTTGCATCATTCAATTACCTTGGTTAGTTAATTCCATAGGTTCAGTTTCTATCATTTTCTCTGCATTCTCAAAACATTAATCTCATATCAGGTTTTTTTTTTCCCAATTGGTTTCCTTCGCAACACCTCCTTCTCTATATAACTTCAACATTTCCTTTTAATTAGGATCATGAATATTAGGAAGTAGGTACATCATTTTTTAATACATCATCAGTGAGTTCATCAGGTGTATCCCTAGAAAATGTTACAAAGTTGAGGATATATAGCAAATGCTGCTGCCGCCACGTCACATTTAAAATAGTAATCTTATGGGTATGGACTTGCTTATAGTGGAAGCCCTTGTCACAATAAGTGTGGGTTGGAATACCCGTACTTAAAAGTATAATATATATATTTTTTATTTATCAAAAAGAAAAAATCTATCAATGGTAGTGCAAGCCATTGTCAAAATAAATAAATGTGTATGAGTTAGAATATCTCTTATATTTTAAAATATATATAATATTGATTAAAAATAAATAAAAAAATTAAACACTAATCTAAAAAGGTATGAACTTCCTTATAGTGGAAGCCCAGCACGAGCAGTCAATTTATATCTTACGGGTAGGAAAGATCCTCTACACATTTGAAGCAATTGACCTAGAAATTGAAAAAGATAAGATCCAATCACTTTTGTCGAACACCATTGAAGAGACTGAAGCTTTTGGTCAGGAAATTAAAGCTTTATTTGTAGAACTGCTTGAAAAGATCGGAACCTCTCGCTTTCATAACAAAGCTTCACGCAAGAGAATTGGGGCGTGGAGTGGATACATCAATGGAGCTTTAAATGGTTGCGAAAGGCCAAGAAAAGTGCACCAGGTAGCGGATGTACTTTTAACATGCACTATATATATATGAAGCTGGTGGGCGGTGGCTATGAGGTAGCCCATGTGAGCTAGCCTACTCAATTATCTTTCCCTGTTTCTGGTTTAGTTAAGAAAGGCTGTTTGGTAGCTTAACTTGTGGTTTTAAATGTGTTTTCTAGTAGAGATAAAGACGATGATATCCAACTCTTGGGATGAATTTATTAGTAAATATTGAAATATATGATAGGTTCAAAAAATTTAAATTTTGAAGGTTAATATTTTTTAAAAAAATTTAATTTATTATGTCAATGTACAGAATGCACTAAAAAATAATTTTAAAATATGTAAAATGGGACTTACCAAATGAAAAGGAATGCGCAAGGGAATGGGGCTCATGGTGCGTGGTCGCAACTCGCAAGGGACCCTAGAGGCACAATAGTACATTTGTGAAGGGTGCCTTTCAACATGTTCAAAAAATTTATTAAGAAATGTTGTCTTATAAGTAAGTTAAAAAAATTTTAAGTTTTGAGGGTTAATATTTGAAGAAAAGAACATTTTTAAATTTATTATATTGATATAGTGAATGTGCTGAAAAATAATCAATTTGGATATACGTACAAGTTGACTCACCAAATAAAAAGGAATGTGCAAGGAAATGGGACTCTTGGTGCGTGGTCGCCGAGGGACCCTAAAGGCACATAGTGCGTTTGCCAGAACGGTGCCTTTCAACAAGTTTGAAATTTTATTAGTAAATATCAACTTATAGACGACAGGTTTAGAAAATTCAAATATTAAGAGTTTATATTTAAAAAAATAATTTTTTAAGTTCATTATATCAATATATAAAATACGTTAAAAATAATTACTCTTAAAATACAAAATACAGAAAAGCTGACTTAGCAAATGGAAAGGAATGCGCAGGGAAATGAGGCTCTTGGTGCGTGATCGCCAAGGGACCCTAAAGGCACGATAGTGCATTTGTCAGAAGGGTGTCTTTCCAGCAGTAGCAGTCTACCTTTTCAGGTTGCTGGATAAACAGGAATTTCCATGGGACCCAAGAAAAAATTTCAAGGTTTCACCAATGGTCGTATCGGATGCCACCTGGACTCCACGTGGAACCGTCGGGACGACTCTGCATCTTGACTAGGAAGTCCAAGAATTCCTCCCGCTACTCCTTTTTGGGTCCTCACCAAGAAGATTGCTTTAGAACTCTGAAAAGGCAAAGCAAAGGCTTCAACTTGGCCCCTAAGGAGGAGTACCAGGATGAACCCTTTTGTTTATGGTATCCAGTTGTACATTCTTTTCGTGATCCTATGGACATACATACACACAGAAATAATGTTCTTTCTTTCGTTGTTAAGAGGTAATTAGCTCACTAATTAATATTTTAATATCTTTTCTTGACTTTTTAAGGACGGGGAATAGAGACCCCAAGATTCGAAGCACACTCATTAGAGGGTGATTTCTACTGAATGCAGTGTCAGGACTCATGAGCCACTGCGTCTTGTGCGTGAAATCTAGTTGTTATGTTAAAACGTTATTATGATTTTTATCAAAAATTTTACTATGATTTCTCACTATATTAGTAAGATTTTTTTTAGATAATATAAGCATTTAGACTTTTAATCTTACTAATATATATGAATTTAACTTATAGTTTTTCATTTCTTTCAAGCAAAAAATGTCTTTTTCATGATCTTTATTTCTTTTCGAAACTTCATTTTATTCTTCATATATCAAAATTGAGAAGATTAATTATATGGGCACTAATGGAATTATATAAAACGTACTAAAATCTTTTTTTTTTTTTGAACATATTTGCAAGGGACGGGTTTCGAACCCAGCCCGAGGAGGAAGGAATGCACCAAGGTGACTATTGCCACTAGACCGCAAAGGTCAGGTGCAAAACGTACTAAAATCTTATAGCTTCGTCTTAACAAAATATATATATATATAAAGTTTTCATAAATAAAAAGAAGAACAAAAGAAACAAAAGAAAATACAAAAAATAATTTTTTTCTTTTATTTATCTATTTTTATTAACCTAAATATAAAATAAGATACAATCTTCACAGCTTAACTTAATGATTAAAATCTTTAATTAAATAAAAATTATCACTTATAAATTACATATTCAAATTTCATGGGTTATATTTCTCTCTTTCTTCAATTTTACTGTTTCAAAAAAAATATAAGATAAGTTACTGGTTAAAAAAACTTGTTATCCACTGTAAGTCTTACGTGGAATTCTTGCATTGGGCTATTTCGACTTCAAGGGTTGCGGCTGTAACCGCTGTAGTCCCACAGAACCCCATCTAGCTAGTAACCATAGGCAAGTAGACATGGTTAAAGCCAAAAACCTTTTTAATATTATATCCATGACACACGTGTCAATTCCTCAACCCTTAACCCTCAAAATGGGACCGCTTAGGTGGGTTCACCTATTGGCACGCGGCCTACAAAGATTCCCCAGCCGCCGTAGGCCGTACCCTCCCCCTCACAGTCGGCAGTGCACCATTCCATCACGTGCTATCATCCCCTCCTCCTCCTCCTCCTCCTCCTCCCCGCCGCACGGCCCGCACGTGCCACCCTTCCTTTTCTTCCATTTGGATTTTTCTGAACACGCTAACCCAGTTTTCTTGTTTAACTATAACCACAAGATGTGAATGGAATCTAATTATAGTTTTACTAAAAACCTTGTCTGGTTAATTGGGATCCAATAATCCATCTTAGCACTTTGCCCGTACCATGGCAAAGCAAACAAAACAATAAAAAAATTACTTGAGTTTAGAGGATTTGTTAAGATTTTTACACATATAAATGCGCAGATTAATGGCCAACTTAATCCGGAAGAAGGTGAATCGGGGCATGCCACGTTGTGGGATTATTGTATTTTAAGCTCTAAACCTTTTTTTTGTGATCTAGAAACATTGGTTACTTTTCATCTGGTTCAGGCCCCATGGACTGAGTTTCAAAAAGTAGCATATGATCACTAGTTTAATTATTGCAAAATTCCTATGAATAATAATAAAAAAAACACATGTAAGGAAAGATGGTGGAACCAATTATTCATCTCTTTGTGGTTATAGTAAATTATCTAAACATGCTTCTAAAGTATAATGCAATCACAGCTTGGAAAGTAAAAAAAAAAAGAAAAAATAATAAAAAGAAGACAAATGAAGTCAATGTCGATGAATTTGATCGATAATCAAACTCACTACAAATTTTCTCTATCCGTGGAAATTAAAAAACAAAAAGTAAAAAAAAAAAAAAAAAACAAAATGTAAATTAATTAACTTAATTATGATCGATCCACAATTATCCATAATCTTCACAAATTATGTCGTATATAATTCAATTTGAAACCTCTCTACATCCCCCAATTATTTTAACTAATTTTCATACAGTGTTGTTGCTGATGATCATCTGTTGCTGTAAGTACCATAGATCATCAGCATTCCATAAATTGTCCGATGCATCGCCGGCGGCGACGTCCAACCAAGAACTCTGTTCCATGGACTGGAAATTTGATCCGTTGTTGTAAAAACTGGACGGACTAATTAAGGAATCGGAGAAACCGACTTGACCCGGTTGGTAATAATCCGGGTTAGGGTTGTTATTGGCTGGGATACTGTAATAATAATCGGTTAAATCCGACACCGGAGAAACATGAGGGCCAAACGACTCAGACGAGGCTGCGGTGCTAGAGTTCTCCGGCGTGTAACTAGGGTTTACTTGTGCACCGCCAAAGTCTTGGGGAACGACCATTGGACCAGATCCCACCTCGTGAATGTTGTTGTTCAACTGGTGGTGATCATGAGTCCTGTTGGCTGAGGAGGAGGTGGATGCGGTGGCAGGTGTGTTGGCGGAAGCAGCGGTTGCCGCCTGAATCCTCTCAACCAACCTCGGCATCCAGAGGTAACGCATGGTGTCCTTGAATTGCTTGCTGTTCACGTCACATTTGAGCTGCTTCGCATGCTTTTGAACTCGGGTTCTCCAGTAATTTTTGATCTCATTATCAGTTCTTCCCGGTAAGAATTGGGCGATTTTCGACCATCTGTATATAATCATATTCAATCAACACGTACAGTAAGTGAAATATGAAACCAAACAAATCAAAGCAAATTAAGTTTTACACTCAAACGGAAACCCTGAAACGTACCGGTTTCCCCAACGAGAATGGAGTTCAAGAATCAGGAGCTGTTCTTCGAGAGTGATGTTTCCTCGTCGGACATCGGGACGAAGATAATTCAGCCACCGTAATCTGCAGCTCTTCCCGGTCCGTTTAAGACCTGCTCCAATATTGAAATATTCCAAAGCTTTGGTAAAGTTAATTGGAAACCCAATATTGCAGAAATAAAAAAGGCACACATATACTTTCTCATAGGTTGTGCCTATCATGTATATGCACATACTGCTTTTTATTCTTCAATATCCATCTCATCCTATTTAAGGAACTAAGAAAACAGACACATATGCAAAAGCTACAAATTCTCTAAGAAACGTGCAGCTTTTTTTTGCTTTTCATGCTCATATATCATATGGATCAATAATTAATCAAATATTTAGAGAAAAAGTCACTTTTTTGGGTTTATGGCTATGGAGGATCAATCTTTCATATAATACAAAGAAAGGACATGATGACTGAAGATAGTAACGTGACTACCCACTTGGCCTGAGCAACTTGTTGTTTGGCTCATTCACCTTGTAAATAACTGAATAAAGGGGAGATTATAAGTCATATATACCTGCGCAATGAGCCAGGGAATTCCATCGACCTTCGCCATGAACAGCAATGTAATTGATGAGCTTCAAGTCTTCTTCAACAGTCCAGGGACCTCTCCTCAAGTCCATGATCTGATCCTCTTCGCTTTGGCCGCAATTTCCAACAGCTTTAACATCCATTTTCCAGAAATGGAGAGACTGCTTGATTGAAAAGAAAAAGGGCTACTTAGACACAATAGAGAGAACCTTTTTTTTTTTTTTTTTTAAAGGCAAAATTTTGGGAGAGAAAGAGAGATTAGATTAACTTGATCGGGAAGATAGAGGGAACCCTGGGGCTTTAATTTATAGATTGGAAGAAGGGTTTGAAAATGGAGAAAAACTGAAAAAGGCAGCATGTGATGAGAGAGGAATTTAATTGGTTTTTAATTAATTACAACACCTAAGCTTGGTAGTAATTATGTTATAGTTTGCAACAGGCTAGCTATTGATTATTGAAGTTTGACGGTTTGACTTTAAAAAATATTTTCTCAGTTTATCAGTTCCGTGGAAAACGGCTTTGTTTTTTTTTTTTTTTTTTTTTTTTGGTCTCCTCCAAACAAGTAACTTGTTCATTTTGTATTGTTATAGACTTGGGTTTTTCCAATCTTATTTCCACTAACAGAGAATTTGTTTGAACTTTGACCGGTTTTAATTGGGAGGTTATTTTTGCAATTATTTTTTCTATACATTAAAAGAATAGTTGCTTAACAACGCTGAAATTTGAATTTCTAACCTTACAAAAATATTAGTGTTTGTAAGTCTAGATGAACAAAATTATAAGTGTTAATTGTGAGGGAAAAAGAAATCAAAACACAACTAAGGACTATGGTTATCTAAATTATATTTTTTTATTGGTTTAATAGTTATGTTATTTTCAGGTCAAACTTAATGTATTTTAAGATTAATTTTTCTCTAATCCAATTAGAAACAAATCATACATGTCGATACTAATCAATGTATAAGGAAGTAATTAGCACCTTGTTGATCCGCCAAAAAATTGATTCTTAATTAATGAGATGTGAAGCAAATTAAATTGATATTTTCCTATGGGTTTTTTTTTAATCTGTATTCTTAGAATACAAATTAAAAGATATAATTAATACATTTTTTTGTAATTAATTTACATAAAAAAAAGTAAAGGTTGACTTTGAATTAATCAATTAATCAATTAAAATTATTCACATGTTAATGATGTTAAAAAAATGTCAACTTTTACAATTTTTTATATAAATTAATTATAAAAAGTAGCATTAAACAAAAGTTTACCAATATGTTTTTTCCATAAATTACACCCATCTTCTTTTTTTTTTTTTCAATTTTTTACATAGTTGGAGGCAATTCATTTCCACCCCTTTACCCTCCCCACCCACATGCCTAACCATGACTCAAATTTTGGATCTCGTGTTTTATTTTAAAAAAAAATTACTACTAAATTATTTAGATAATTGACTAAATCGTATATCATCTCTAAATAGTAATTGGGTTTATCTAAGAGTATAAGTTAATGATATATTAAATACATATTTTGCTATAAATTTGTATTGGAAAAATAAAAGTCAACATTTAATTTATCAACTATTTAATTAAATTCATCCACTTGACATTGATACTAAAATTAATATCAATTTTTATATTTTTCTACATATATTTATAATAAAAAGATATATGACACAAATTAGAAAATTTCATAGTAATTAAACTGCCCAGGACAATTCAAAGTATTTTTTATATGTATGATACAGAACTCTTGACATGGTTGTTTGATTGCCTGCCATAAGCCAATGGGATAAATATCACCTTTCTAGCCCCAAGTCTCTATTATTTCATGGCAGCATATATTGGGTAAATGCTAATTTTGGCATCTCAATTTTAAACTGTGCGTTTTTTTGGTTCTTGCACAATAATTTGGCCTTTGAACTAATCATAAAAATCTAAGGATGAAAAATTGCTTAAATTAGTTTATGAGAGAGCATTTTTGTGTGCATATCTAAGAGTCAAGAAACGGAAAAAGTGCTTAAACTAGTTTTAAAAAAAAAAAAGAAAAACAAAGTTTAAAATTTAGTGACTACAATTAACATTTAACCTATTGGATAAAGATGTATAAAACTAAAAGAAGTGTTTTACATTTTAAATAATAAAATATACATTAATAAGGATACCCTTTAATTGCAGGGACAAATCCCCCCTTATCAAAGTATCCAATAACCCAAACTGCAAAACCATATACTCATAAAAAACTGTTCTCAAAATGCAATGCCAATCTTGTAAACTATTTTCAAGGGCACTAATCAAACAAACCTTTTGATGGTACATCAAAGAAGGACAATCTTAAATGAAAGGACTCAAACCTACAACCTCACTATTGCAGGGACTTAGTTTCAAGTACACCCTCTCTTTTTTTTCCCCTAGAAAATTCCTCTAGTTTATATATACCATTTTTATAAAAAGATTTAATTTTCCTTAATTAGTTCATATACAATTATAACTAGGGATGAAAAGGATTTTGTCAATTGGCAGATATATTTATGTATAGCCGGATTAATTAAATGCTTTGAATTGCCCATCCTACAAGGTAAAGGACTTAATTTTAATTGATGCATTTAATTTTGAAACTTAGCTAAATTGTGACCCCCTCGAGAATGGGGCTTGATATTTGCTAAGAGAGGTGGACCACTACTTGACTTTATCCATGGTCACAAAGGAAACTTCCACACGTTTTCCTTCAATTATTTCCTCGATTTTTTTAATTTAATTTAAATTCCTGGAAAGGAATTTTTTTTCCTCTTTTAGAGGGCTGTTGATTTAGAGGGGTGTGCAGCCCTCTATTATTAATGTTATGTGGAAGTGAAATTAATTAAATGCAATTCCCTTTTTCCTTTTGAATTTCTTTACAGTTGTAATGATAATTTTTTTTATAAAAAAATAATACAATATTAATTAACTGATAGAGTACAAGAGGTGTTCTAATTCAATACTCATACTTCTATCACATTTGAAAAGTTTCTTACATTATATCATGTATTTTTCATGTCACATCATAGTCTCTATGTATATTAAGATGTCTTTAAATTTGTTGAATAATCAATTTTTAATTGAGAATATCATGTAAAAAGTTGACTTGATATACAATTGTACTTTCTTGTATAGTCTTGGGCTACATTTATTAGTGGTGTTACCACTCCAGTTACCCACATTTTCATGCATCCAATTTAATTTTTCCTGCCTCATCTGTTTGTGGCTATACCTCTATAAATCTCTTTCGAAAGAAGGACGAAAATTTTTATATTTGTTAACTCTATAAACTACGTGAAATTAAGGGCAAATTTGCTTGAATTTTAACGAGCTTTTAGCCAAGTACTTTTTGGGCACAATTTAATTAAAAAAAAAAACTTTATTTTGTTGAAGTGTCCCCACTTTATTTTTTTCACATCTTTAGTAGTGGGGAGCCCGCACCATGGGCCAACTAATTAATGATTAATTATGTGGTCACTTCTTGGGTAAATTGATATCCATATCGGTTTTAATTCGACCACGCATTTCATATATACAAAAATTTAGGCCTAACATGTATATATTTTTTTCATTGGGAATGTTTGTTGCTAGCTATTGCAGGAGTTTGAATATTTAATTTTAATTTTAAATTAAAAATTTTAAATTAATAAATATCAACTCGTTCAAATTATTGTTGATTGAGAGTAGCATAATTTATTCAATGTAAAAATGCATGCTCCTTACAAAATAAAATTAAGAAGAGAAATGGAGACAAATGATATAAGTAGTGCAATAATAATTTCCTTTTAATGAAAGTACAAAATCTTAAATTTAAATCACATGATAAGTAGATGGAGTGAATTACAAAAAATGAAAACATATTAATTTTCATTCTGCAACTTAAAATTTCAAAAAGAAAAAAAGGAATTGTAACAACTCAATCCAGTATTGATATTATTTACTTCAGCCCATCAAATCTCATGATTTTAAAATGAGTTAATAAAGATTAAAGGGTGTTGACGAGCGAAGGAGGTATGCTTGCCCCTCTAGACTTTTGAAAAAAATTAAATAGGTCATATACTTTTTTAAAAAGTCAAATAAACCCTTTAAAAAAAATAAAATGGTGTGTTCTACTTTTATTCTTTTATAAGTCTTGTGATAAAACACTAATCACTTGACAAGTAAAATAGATTTATGAAACTATTTTTATTTATTTGGCATGTTTATCATTGTAATATGTACATGATTAATGATTATTTGTATCAAGTAACAAAATAAAATTGACTTAAAATAAGTATTATCAATTTTTTAAAATATTTAGTTTCACTATTTGGATCATATTGAATTCTAGTTTGTGATAGAAGTTCTGTTTCAAATCGAATTTAAATATACATACATTTTAACAAGTTTTTCTATATTTAAGGTCCTTAAAATTTTAGTTTTTGTACATTTAAGTCTCTAATCTTATTTACAAGTTAAGAGATTCGTTTTTAGTGTATAAATTTCAAATGGTACTTTGTCCAAGATTATTTTTTAGCTTCGTCCATGCCTATATATCTAACATCTCTCTTGTGCTTTGTCAATATGAGATTTGTCTAAGGGTGTCACATAAACTGTGGCAAGATCATTATTTGTTAATTAGAGTAGAAAATGCTTTAGAGATAATTTTTGTGTGCAAATTTTCATACAATTTTACATAACATTTATTGTATATTTGGGTTGAGGAGAATGAAGGGGAGGGGAGGGGAATGAAGGGAAGGGGAGGGGAGGAGAGGGAAAAGTTAATTTTTTAACCCATCAAATTAAAGTTTTTTAACCATTATTTAATTGGTTAAAAAACTTTCCCCTCCCCTCTATTTCCCTTAACTCAAACATACAATTAGTAATAAATAATAATAAAGATAAAATGAAAATTTTGGTGATAGATTAGATAATTAAAATTAAGGAATAACAATAGAGTTCAAATAGAAAAACAAAATCCCTTCCAAAGTATATTAAAAAAAGACAATTAATTTGTGATAATTTTTTTAGTTAAAAAGATGATTATTATTGTGGGATTTAGGAATAAAATAGTTAAATACTCCCTCATGCCAGATTTAGTTGTCCCACTTTTTAAATAAGGATGGTCTGATTTAATTGTTCTACTCTTAATTTTACCCTTAACCTTCAAAGAGATAACAATGTGTTAGAATTTTTTTTTGTTTAATTTTAAATAAGAATGAAAATGAAAAGATAAGTATTAATTATTATTATATAAATAAATTTTTTAATAATCGTAAATGAATGAA